CATGCTTCCCCGTTTAGAGGAGAGTAAAAAATAGGGGATTTGTATTAGGCAAGGCATAAAAGAGCTACAAATAGTAATCCTAGAAAGTTTACGAAGCACAAAAGAAACACTTAATAGAACAGGAAAAGGTTCCAGATGATAAAATCTTGGGAGAATCCGACGACCGCCAGATTTACTGGGTGAGCATTACAAGTAAAGACGTATGTAAACAAAACTGACTTGGTACGAGCGGGCTGGAAAGTCGGCCGCTTATATAGCCACGGCGAGCTCGTCGAGAACCATCTAGAACGCCTTGTTGTCTGCGCCACTCGCTCGTAGCCCCGCCCCTGCGATAAATATAGCCGACGCGACAAAGCGAGACGGGCGGGGCAGGAAGGTTCTCGAAGGTTTTGGAAGAATTTCTCCGAGCTGTATATAAGCCTCTCCGTAGAGGATGACTCCAGACATCTGAGTCGAACCCATCTGTGCTTTAACTATGCCTGCCTGCATTCTCCACAACGCTTTTCTGCCAAGCGTATTGGACGAGGTCTTCAGCGAACTCGACGACGCCCTCGACCAGATCCCCTTGGTGGGACTACGTGCTTGTTGCTCCTCCAAAGAGAAGGAGGGAAGAGAAAACGCTTGACGACGCCCTCGACCAGATTGTGGGACTACCTGCTTGTTCTCCTCCAAAGAGAAGGAGGGAAAATCAAGCCGTCATGGGTCAGTTGGGCAAGGTAAGCCAGCGTTTATACTTTGCGGCAGCGTAGCGTAGCGTAGCGCAGCTCAGATTTCCTGTGGGCGCTCTTCCTCTTCTAAGCTATTCACCACACTTAAAAGACCTATCACAGGTTACCGATGACGAGTCAAAGTTGACAATCGCGTTGAATGTTTCGAAATTTAAACCAGATGAACTAAAAGTGAACGTCGATGGCCGAACCCTTACGGTAGAGGGTAAACAAGAGGTCAAAGATGGCTCGAACTACACGGCCAGGTGGGTCTTTAGTCTAACTCTCTAAAATAAATCCTCTCTAGCGATTAATATTAAATTTCTTATTTTATAGGTCGTTCCTTCGCCAATGGACTCTTCCAGAAAATATTGACGTCGAGCAGATACGATCCAGCCTTAGCGACGAGGGTCAGCTGGCCATCGAGTTACCAAAGCCCAAGGAAACCTCCAACGCTAGGAATATCCCAATCTTAAAAGCAACAAGTCAGTCCTGAGTAGTATTAGAATAGTGTGTTGTATATGTATATAGTATGTTGTAACAGTAGTATTAGTACCACCATTTAGTAGTATCAGTTCTGTCGGTACCATCTTGTTCACTGTGGTCTCAGTACTTTACAGGCATGTATTCTACTGCCGTCATATTTATTACTTGTTTATATTTGAACAGTGCTGTATATTTTATCGTGTGATTCTTTAATCAATGTGCAAATAATAAATAACAAACAATAAATAATTATTAATTCCGCAGACCTGCACCTTGATCCTCCCAGACGAATCTGGTACCAATTTACCGTCCCCGGAGGGTAGAAGGCTTGGTTGGCCTGGGCGGGAGTCGACCCGGGATTCGAACCGGGACCGCGCGAGTGGTAGGCGCGCCACTTACCATTATATCCACGACACCACCACCGCATCCTGTACTTATCCCTGCACCTCCAAACCTGAAGTTTTACTGCATGGGCACCATGAAATAAAAGTGATGTTTCGGTTCGGATTAAGTTCCTGTAAGCAGAGGTCATATGGATGCGCCGCGCACTTTATTTTCATTCAGAGCTGTGAGACCACGTACATGCGTGACGACTTTGGAGAAATGACGAGTTTGCGGAGAAAAAAATGCATACGTATCAATGTGGAGTAGTGCAGTATTGCAGAAGTGGTGAACATTCATGCACTGTAGCGGAAAAAACGAATCTGATTATCGCCTTCGTCTTCCGTGGATATGGGCACCTTCTCAGTGACCAGTGCTTCAAGACATCTCGCAAGTTGCATGATTGGGTTGAGCTGCAACGCTTTACACCGACATCCTATCCCTAGGTTCTTCACTACACTTCACATACTTGCTTGAGACCTTATTTTGCTTACTTGGAATTAGATCCCGAGCCCAGATTACCTTTATCGACGTAGATTAGTACCCAACTCAAAGAAGAGAACGTAATGATTTGACAGGATATCACGGTTCGTGGGGGTATGCTGCAGCCACGAAATGGGGATCTTTGGAGACTCCGTGCCCAGTCCTATCAAGAGAGTTGTCCATCTACTGATGCGCTTATGAGAACCGTCCGCAATAACTATGAAAATGCAAAGGGTCGGGTGGCAAGCTTGTGTGATCCGTAATGAACAACCTTGTACAAGTTCCGCGGACAGCTTTTGTAAGGTCAAGGAGTTAAGGCGCAAAGTTGTGACACCTCCCTTTGTCCAGTGACTCCGCCTTCAGACTCCGCCTTCAAAATCCGCCCTTCCACAAAAGCGATGCTACTGTTTGATTTTCATGCAGCGGACGCTGGACTCTCTCTTGTGGGGGCACATACTCACTGCAAATAAAATTATTGAAACTGAGATCAATGGA